AATGTATTGTATTATTGTATCTGTCTTGAACAAATCTGATGACAGATTTTTTCCCCCCTGCAATTCCTTATAGTAGCCCAATTTAAGCAATTAGGCGAAACCTGCTAGTTTAGGTAATAAATTCTGATTGTTATTCATAGTTGTCCACTATTTAAAGAAAAATATGCCATTTGGGTGTTCCCTGATAAATACAGATTGTAAAAACTCCTTTTTTACGATCCTGTAATTCTTTAATTTGGGAGAGTTGGGGTGACTGAATGGATTCAGTTGATTTTTGTTTTCTTTGCACTCTAGTAGAGAAACATCTCTAGCTACCTAGGATTGAACTCTCAACCTTCCTAGTGGGAGGCAAATGTTTTCACCACTAGGCCTCCACACCACTTTATAAATAGATGGTAACAGTGCATACTTATTTTAATAAAAATACAGGTAATCCTCAAGTCACAACACAATTGAGCCCAAAATGTATGTTGCTAAGTGAAACATTCATTAAGTGAATTTTGCCCCATTTTAAGACCTTTCTTGCCATAGTTAAATGAATCACTGCAGTTAAATTAGTAACACAGGGTTGTTAAGTAATCTGGTTTGCCCATTGCCTTTGCTTGACAAAAGGTCACAAAAGATGATCACATGACTTCAAAACACTGCAATCATAAGAGTTGTCAAGCATATGAATTTTGATCATGTGACCATGGGGATGCTGCAACAGTTGTGTGAAAAATGGTCCTAAATCACTTTTTCAGTGCCATTGTAACTTTGGTCACTAAATGAACTGTTATAAGTTGAGGACTACGTGTACTGATTCTGTGGAAAATATAATTATTATTAGGTTTGTACAGTACTTCTAAATCCAGCTTGGTGGTTCCTGCCAAGGACTTTGTCTGAAATATGACTCCTATTTCAGCTCACTGCACCAGCTCCCTGAATATCAAAGTGGCAAGAATGGCTACCCTCTTTGTATGTGGGTACTAACAGCATTTTCTTTTTGCTTGGTACTGGAGACATCTCTTATTTTTTAAAGCCAGCATTAATGTATCATAGTTAAAATATTTTCTGAGAGGAACTTAGAAAAATAGTTTTTCCTCTGACATATGAGATTTGTCCCTAGCTAAGACTGGGAAGTTGCTTAGCTGAAATATCATAGGATGTAAAACCCAGTTATATGATAGCTTACCTTTTTATTAATTCATAAATTCTTATTGCACCTATCTTCCAGATGACAATCTTTTAATCCTAAACAATCAAGCAGTATTCAGGACAAGAATAAAAAGGGTAAAACAAGTTATATTGTAGCAGAAATTTAAGATTTCAATAATATATTCCAGTAATATATAGAGTAAAAAAGCATGCAATCTTCAGTGACATGAGGACAGATCCACTTTGACTTAAGTGAAACAAATGGTGGAAAAGCCAGGGTCCTCCTCCCATAGGTTTTGGAGCAGTTTTCATTGGGGAAGGAAGGTCAGTTCTGCATGTTCATCCAAAGAACCATACTTCTAGATATTACTGTACATTTCTGTCTGCAATTTGACACTTTTGGATGAATAGCAAACTATGTATCTGAGAATATCTGTTTATGAGAAAAGAAAATATGATCTTCTCTATGGTAGCACTTTGGGGGTGGGGCATGAAGTCGCAAACAATGAAAGTGAGTTGCAGTGGATGGATGAGTGAAAAGTGATACAATGGTGCCTTCTAGGAGTCAATGAAGGTGTTTAACAATTTGCAGGGAATGGTCTTGGTGGTTATTGATCCAGTAGGTGGGATATTATCACTGGCTTTTGTGATCAGGATGGTCTATAATAAAAATGTTGCTTATATCTGTCCAGATTGTGGTAGGGAATATAACCAAAAAGGCATATACAATGCAGAGGGAGCATGACAGATAAGGCCAGTATTTCTCTCTGCACAAGCAGACAGCTATCCTGATAGCCATCAGATCTTGGAAAAGCATATTGTTCAAGCAATGTTGATGAGTTTGATATGGAGTTTCTGATGTTTTGAAAATATATGAAGATGGCAAGAAAAGCAGATGATCAGGTTTGGTATGAAGCAGAAGCTTGACACCTATGTAGCCCACCAGATTCTTGAGAGAGCTCTATGTTTGAAAGTAGCCAGTGGATTTCTACTTTAGATGTGGAATCTCTCCCTAGCTAATCATCTCTGTCATCTGATTCAGAAGCTGAGAAGTGGTAGCAGGAGCAATTTCATTGGCATCCAGGTTTGCATTCCCACTACAAAATCTTGCATCTGAACTTCACTAATGAATTGGCTGGCCTCAGACTTGAGCTGGCTAAATTTTCTCAATCTTTTTTCTTCAAATTCCACTTTGACATCCATCTGGTTTTTCCAATCCATCTGCAGATAACTTATTATTTGACTCATATTACATGACAGTTCCAGGAAAGCCACAAGACTAAATTTAATCTCAGGTACAAGTTGCTACTTACATTTGAGATATGTTCACTACTGAGAACCAAGAATGAACAAAATTAATTGCATGTGCATCGATGTTCATGCAGTTAGCTGCTTTTAGGTCTGTTCCTAGAGCTCATGAGTGCAAAGCTTGTTCTTCTTGAACCTATATCACAAAAGCTTGACAAATGGGTAAGATTTTATTATAAGCTCCTTTCTCAGGTACACTAAAGGGCTGGATCATCAGATGAAGATTTATCTCTTATAATTCCAGTATTTCCAAAACTGGGAATTTCTAGCTTTCAGAGCTTTTCAATATCATTTATAAAGATGGTATTAATTGCCAAGACAATATTCTATTTGTGCTAAAAATTAAAAAAAAAATTGAATACCAAATACAAAGAGGAAATAAAACAAATGCAGGGAAAAATCTTATTACTTTTTTAAAAATACAGATAGCTTTTGAAATTGAGCTTAAGAGAAAAATTGAGGGCATTAGTCAGAGCTGTGTCAGATCTTCTGCAACTCCTCAGGAGCTGCAATTCAGCCTCCTGAACTTCTGAAGAGCCACAGACCCTTCAATTACGATAGATCCTCAAAGACTGGATGAAATTTTAGGCCCTTTTTAGAGAGAGCACATGTATTAGGGTAAGAATGGGAGCAGGACTCTGGAAAGCATACTGCTATCATTCCCACCCAAAAACTCCCTCAAACTCAAAACAGCTGAAATTTGTGGCAGTAAAATTTTGTCACTTTTTGTCATTGAATTCTGGCAGTAGGGGATAATAAGTTGTGGGGCTGTCTGCATGTGCATAATCATTCAGACCAAGCTGAAGAACTTGGAGTAATGCATTTGCACTGAATTTCTGTAAAGGCAGCATAGGTAGAGGCTAACATTAAGAGAAAGGATAACATTTCAAATTTGATGACATTTTCCATGGTTTGGGATTTTGGAACAGTGTAGAAAAGAAAGCACCAACATCTCAGAATTGTATAGTCATAAGGTAAAACACATATCATAATTCCTTTTTGGGTCTAATGAAAAATGTTCAATATGATGTAATAGAGGCACATTTGTATCATATTCCCATAATGAAAAGTATGTTGTCCTTTATTGAATAAACATGGTTGGTTTAACTTTACATTAACTGTAAATAAGAGCCTTAATATATGAAGTGAGGGCCGCACAATGTTAAACCTCCACTGGCAGTAATTTTCTGATCCCCATCCTCTGTGGTGCCATTGATAAATTTGACCCTAAAGAGGCTGGTGTACTAATTAGGATTAGCTAAGGATAGAGGATTGAAGGAAAGCTACCCCAGCCTATTTATTTTTCAGTTTAGCTCCATGTTTTTGAGATGAGAAAAGTCAGCTCTAATAATGGTGATACTGCTTCAAGGGGCATTTCCATTTGTCTGCTCCTAACCTCCACCTCATTTTTGAGGTAGAGAAATGCTTTGGGGTAGAGAAAGGCTAACCCTTTGATAGATTCACATGACACATGGATCAATAATTGATCAAATTAGCCAAAAACAAGAGTGGCCACAACTCTTTAATATTAATATTCTGTCTTAAGAGTCTGGACTATTGGGCAGATACTAATGATATCCACAGCCCAGCTACATTGGGCCTTAGATTCCACTGACATGGTGTATCTAATCTTATTTATAGATGAAAAGAGAATTTTCCATTAAATCCCACCTAGAGTTTTATGAAACTCAAAAACATCCTCTGCATCCTAAGAATATTGGGGGGGGGGGGGGGAGATTTCACTTTTTCAAAAGAAATATTCTTGCAGCAGTGAAACTTGGCTAGTCAACAAGATGGCCACTTTTCAATCAACTCAAAAGCTAAAAGACATCCTCGGCCACAACAGAGAAAAAAATATTATATTTTAATGGCAGGGCAGAACATTTCTACCTTGGTAATAAAAGGCTCAAACAGATCTGTAACATTTTACATAGATTTATAATCCAATTCTAGCACAGAATACAGTACTTACCAACATGAGATGCAACTAGATTACTGTGTAGAATGCATGCTGAGTGCTAAAACTGGGCCTGCATGTATTTTTAACATAAAAATATAAATTATTCTTTTATATGAATGCATATATATATGCAGTTTCCACAGTATTTTTCCCCAAAAGGAAGAGGAAAATGCTTGTTTTTAACAACAACAAAAGATAGAGACACTCATAAAGAAAGGACTTTTTCTTGTAAATTTATAAGGCAAACGTTTTATATAATAAATAGGATACAAGGGTAGGGAGGGATTTTGGTGGATTTCTTTTAAACATATACATGTACATTCAGACGGATTTTGTTATTTTCTTACTGAAATTATACAAATTTTCCTTTATTAAATTTCTTTTTTCTTCTTTTTTTAAATATAGTCAGTGCTTTCAGTCTTTTTTTTTTTTTTTTGGCTGTAGACAAAACCTACAAAAAGAGCAATCAATTTTTAAGTTTTATTAAACAATCTACTCAGAATTCTTAAAAGTAATTGTCCCAAAAACGCATCAAACAAATGCAAAGTGTGGTCAGGAAATATGGATGGGGGTACACAATAAAGTATATTTTAAAAAAATTCTTCAAAAGAGCCAAAGAAGCTCTACTTAACCTCAGTGGAAAGTTTCTTAGTATTTATTTTTCTAAAATTAGAGCTTTAGCATGGAAATTCATATGGATCAACAGTTATTTCTCAACATTAAAAATATTAGTGGGGCAATCTTTAAGACAACATAGATCCCAATAAGAGTGCTAATTATGATTTTTGGAGTTTCAATGCATTCTTTAAAACACTTACATGCTAGATCCTCCTGTTTTGCCACTTTATTGTTCTTCCCTTAATGGGTGTTCAATGAAGGAATCTACAGAACCACCTTTTTTTCCTATATTGTCTTCTGGTAACGGATTATTAAAAATGAAAACTTTGTGAAGTTCCTCCTGGGTTTTGTTTCAGGTTTTTACTATTGCATTCCTGCCAAATGAATGTTTCAATGAAGGAGTCTAAGCATATTCTAATTTTTTTGATACACTGACTTCTGGTAGTAGATTATTAGAAATTGAAGCATACAAAATACCCTGGGAAGTTGTTAAAAAAATTGCTTAAGCTACCCCTTTCTCCCTACTGCCAATGGTAAGACAAAAATAAAAGTATATACCTTTCCTCCCTTTTAAAATATATACATATATTTGACACTCACATTTGAAGCATTTGTGCCTGGAACAATTACTTTACAGAAATGTTCACGATACATACTCGTGGACCATTAAAATAAAAAACACACACACACACACACAAAAGGTTTTCATTGACATTCCTTTTTTCGGGGTGGGGAGATAAAACCCTACACACAACAAGTCTCAAATACCACAGTTCTTTTCTGTTACATCCCCCCTCTCGGGAAAAAAAACATTTAAAAGAAAATAAAAAACAACTCCCACCCCAACCCCAAATTCTGTGTCTCTGGAATTGTATTTTATTTTTTAAAGAAATGTCACTGGGTAGAGTTAGTTGGCTATGCGAGGATTAAGAGCTGTACAAGATAGCAAGCACTCAGCATACATTTAATAACAGTCCTTGTAATATTTGGTCTTATAGTGATCGCTACTGAATTGTGAAGCAGAAGGAAGTTGGTTTGTTATTAGCAACATGTTGAGTTATGGAAGCAGGAGAAAGGATTTCCCACCATCCCTGCCCCTTTATAATAAAGGGAGGAAAGCCTTTTTTTTTTTTTTTTTTTGCACTCATAAAGAAAATCAGTTGATTAATGTCCAACTCTTCTGCCACTTCATGCAGAGATAACACAACCACAGTAAGTACTGCTTTTCTACATGGCTTGAAGGAGGAAAACCATAATTGGAAGAAAAGTTTATGTATGTCAATTTATGGATTGAGAAATTTTTTTCCCCAACCTCTGTTAGGAAGAATATAGTAACACTGTCCCTCAGAGAAGTGTAATCTATGCTCAGTCTTTGCTTTTGGAAGAACGGCAATTTTAAGCCGCTACTCTTGAGCGGATATTGCTGATTTCCATAACTTACAAGTGAAAACTGGCAGACAGGAAACTGTCATATTTGGTCCTCTTTCTAATGGTGTCTTAGGATATGATGAGAACTGTGTCAGTAAAATACTAGCAAGCTATTTTTTTGCTTAATGATCTGCTTCCAAACACATCAGCCTTTGATTTGATGAATGTTACTTGAGCTCTAATGTTAAAGATGTCAATAAAATGAAAGCTTTAATACAAAATTATTAAGTGGGACACAAACCAAACCTCTCAGCAATTACTCATGCAAGCATAAGCAACACGAAGAGGAGAAAAGGCAAAGTCCAATTTGAAAAACTGAAAATTCATTCATTCTGAAAAATACTGTGAAACATGTTTGATCAGTAGAAAAAGGAGGGAGTCAAATTCAATACTTCACTTCTGCCACCCAAATATTTGACATGTCCCTTTTTTGTTCACACCTTTTTCTTTCCAGGATCCACATTGATGTAGTGCGACACTGACACATGAAGGTACAATATCAAATCTAGACATGATGTCTTTGGAAATCAGACCTAGATTTTTGCTAAACATGCAAGGTAGAGAGTAGTGAAGACAAGGGACAGTTATCAGCTAAAGAAGGGAACGTGCTATCATGGAGTGCTTCAGATGGCATGCAATGCACAAAATGAAAAGGAGTGGTAGGAGAAATATTAGCTTTAAAAACAGTAAAAGTGGGAGGATGAGAAGCCAGGTAAGAACTTTGCTATGAAGAAAATGAGGAAGAACACTAAGAAATTCAGTTTAGGACCAATGGTAGTTTTCCAAAAATTACTACAGACTAATTGAAGTAGCCATCACAGATAGAGCTAAATCATGCCAATAAACATAAGTTAAGCTCTGGTTAAACTGAAAATATTTTTTAGAGAGTTAAGTCACAATACAGACCAAATACTCCACATTTTCTTCACTTTATCTCCCTAGGCCCAATGCCCTTCCCCACAAGTAGATTTGAGTGCAAAAAAATAAAATGTTGACTATATGTGACCATCCTGTTATTTTTCAAACCCACTGAGCAAAAAGAAAAAAAAAAATTCCCGTCCCAAAGTGTGAGACCAGCCCAGCTGAATATATCTTCTGCTCTGGGATTTACTAGCAGACAATTGTGAAGGATGTTTTCTTTTCCCTTGCTATGATACTGAAGATTAGGAGTAATAGTAAAGAAAACAACATGTAATAATTTCTCAACAGACCATACCATTCCTTGCTTGTCAGTCTGTTATCCTTATTTGGTAGTGGTGCAATAAGCAGAAAAAAAGCTACCCCTCGTTTATAATGCAATATACAGATATATAAAATTAGACAATTTTTTTGTGTCTACTTGGTGCCTTAAAAAAAAAACACCACACACACACACACACACAAAACAGAAAGTAAATCCCCAAACAAAAAAGATTTAGATCTAACGTTAAACTCTACACATTACTGGATAATAATTGAAACTGACAAGAAGTTTATTTTCACTTGACACAGAAACATCAGGTGGTTCACAATGCTAACAAGGTAAATCCCTCTTGCGCAGTCTCTCAAACTCCAGGCACTATCCACATGTGTCTTCAGGATGAGCTGGGTGGAAGTGGGCAGAGCTAGGAGCAAAGATAGTCACTTTGTATCCCTGTAAATAAGCAGTTTGCCAGTGAAGCTACTACTGATGTAATGCACTCTGGAAAAGCAGCTAGTTCCAACAGCATCTTTAGAAGGAATGGTGGGAAGAGGCCAGACTTCTACTCCTGCTCTACTTTCTCAATCCTTTCTTTGGGTTGAACTAGATTTTGGTGGAAGACCCAGGTCTGTAAGCAGCTGCAAAGCGGAGCAAGATGAATGCCATATGCAGCAAATAAATGTTCATGTGCTGGGAAGAAGGCAGGGAGAGTCAGAAAAAAAAGCAAGCAGAATTAAAACGTTTTGCTTGCCTGCTGCTTTTCTGGTGCAAAACTGCCTCTCTAACAATCACTTTGTAGCAATCAAGCAGCAATCCTGGTCTGCCTACAAGGATCTAGTTTGGCTCTTACTGACAAAATGAACCTTCAAGTTCCCACCCTACATCACAACTGAAGGAAGGGAAATGGTGTAAAAGTGTCACCTTTTGACTTGTTTGGAATGTCAAGACATATGAGATTTAAAAAAACCCTGTGGTTTTACAAGTTTTTCAAATCCAGGTAATGATAGATTAGACTAAGTACAATATGATGATTTTAGCTGATATATGGGTACTGATATTCTAATTTGAATTTTTGTTTCAAATTCCATACATGTTCATAGGTATGCTTAAAGATACCCCAAAATCTTAACGTTTGAAGCTTCTTTTAATATCCCCATCTAACCCCATATTAAATTTAACCCCTTCTTAAACTATTTGCAAGACACTGTTAAAATCATGTGATCTCAATGGGCTTGTGGCTCTACTGTCCACCCAAGTAGGAAGAAAGCAAGAAAGACTATTATTCTCTCTTGGCTTTAAAGTGCATTATTCTCCCCCATGAAAATGTAAAAAAAAAAAAAAAAGAGGGAGAGGTATTTCTATCATGAGGGCCACTGACTGCCTCAGCAATGAGCATCAAGAAACAGCTGGGAAGGGACATGGCAAAGAGCTGCCAACTTTTTACATAAATCAGTCACCTAATCTTTTGAAAGTTACATGGCTGGGAGAGTGCCAAAGCGCCTCACATGAGGGCAAAAGCTACATTTTCTAAATAATCTTTGCCAAATAAGTAGGAAGGCACGAGGCTTTCAATACTCCCAACAGTAAACTAAACTAAAGGAGATCTGTCTATGGGTATATATTAAGTTCAGAAGGTTCAAAAGCTAAAAACTTCAAATGCTGAGCATATCTCCTGCAGAACTACAGCCCCATTTGTAGTCTCAGCTATACACTACAGTATTATGAATCCTAAAAAAGACACTGGAATGCAGCAATACCCTATATTATAGGGACAGGACTAAACTGACACAACACGCTTGCTTAGCCATAAGCTTGTTCTAGTCTGAACTGGAATTGTGGTTCCCATGTTTTAGGGCATAAGTGCAGGCAGCTACATAAAGCAATCTTCTCCATGACTGCTATTTCTTCCATCATCCTCTTCCCAAGCATTTTTTTTCCTATCCAACCTAATTCCTGTTATTAGAATTCTTCCCAAGAAGAATGTGTTTATGAATGAAAATGTTTGTATAAGCAGGTATCCAGTGCACTATTGGGGGAACAAAAGATGAAGGCATTGTCACACAAGCTCCACTCATGTACAAGTATTGTGATATTGCACATATGAAAGGGGTGTAGCTTGCATTGTAACTGTGGCACTCTAAGCCCAGCTTGAGCATGCTTTTCATCCTGCAAACCTGTATGTATCAGGCTGTAGGAGTAAATTGCAGGAAATAATATTTAATCTATCCTCTTCACATGATTTTTTTTTAAAAAACTATAAACAGATTTGTTACCACTACATCCAGCTTGGGCTTCAATTATAACCCAACTGATATTTTTTTAAAAAAAAACCAATATTCCAATTGGAAAGATTGCTATCACTATTGTTTATTCTTGATGTGGCTCTGTGTTTCAAGCTGGACAAGCTAAGGCGCTGTTTTACCATGATATTCTTCTGTAGAAACTTTCATGATGTGTATCTATTCAATTAAACTTTGACTTCCAAGGATAAGTGCTCTGTATTAAACCGTCAAAATGTATCTGTCACACTTTCAGCTCTGACATATGTCTGTATATGTTTACTATTTTAAAAAAAGTCCCATCAGAAGTGACCCCAAAGTGGAATGAAATGTAAGGTTCTGTTCCATTTACCAAAACAATATCATAACTTAGAAAAATTAGTACATGATAGAATACATGCAGACTTAGAAGCTGGAACAAGAGGGACAATAATTCACTCTAGATTTCTCAGTCAAGTGCAAAGCCTTAGAAATCCCCAAATGCATCCCTAAAGTGTACTGCATTTTCCCCATCTCTTTCCCACAGGGTAGGATATTTATTGTGGTTTGGAAAACTAGATGGGAAACCCCCTCCCTGCCAAAATAATTTTGTGCCTTTTTTAACATTGAGGAAAAGCCCTTAAAGAGTTTAAATTGTTGCAAAGTAATTTCTTCCTTTTTTCCCCCTTGTGCGTGCTTCTTTACATTTTCTATCAGGTTTCCATATGTACTTCTCAGCACAGAGACATCATTCCAATAAATAATGAGCTAGTTTCAGATTGTTTATGCTTTCTGGTGGAAAGGGTATTCATCATTTAGCCACAGATTGTATCCTAAATTCTAATGATTAAGAAAGAGGATTGGTTTTTATTCTTGATAAAGAAAGAAGAGAAGCCAGCCCCAACCTTATTGCAAATCAAGAAGAAAAAAATAAAACTTTCAGCTCTGATTACGCTATAAGAAGCTAAGAAAAAAATAAATTCATGTTGCTGCAGGGCTAAATCTCATCAGTCTTCCTATAGAGAAAACTGAATCTTTTTCTTATGAACAGAACATATTCTAAGGCTAATAACTTCACTTTGGCTGCTTATGCACAAAGAATTTTTATTCCAATGTCTGGTACATAGGCAAGAACAGAGAAAAATCATCATCCATGCCAATGAGGCTCTCCAAGGTCTCAAACAGACATGACTCCTGAGAGCCTACAGGGTTATGTATGTATGTATGTATGTATGTATGTACACATATGACTGCAGGAACTCCAATTTTGCTAATAAAAATGTAATTATTCATCCCTCTCAAAATAATTTTCCTGTTCTAAATTTTGCTGTTCCTGCAAGCAAACTGCTATACTAGAAAGGGGGGGAAATGCCATTATAGGAATCTCTATTTTTCTCCCAGTAACAACTTGTAAAGGGTAAGAGGGCACATATTTAGATGGTAAAAAGCTACTCCTCTGAATACTTTGACTTTTAGAGTGCTAACTTCTTGATAAAAATAATTATCACAGATATCAGGATGTATATTAGAGTCCTCAAAGACCCATGAAACAAGATGGGACTTGTTTTATCATTTCACACCACTGGGGGGAAAAAAAAGCTATTTAAGATAGCTACTTTCTGCCTAGATTTTGACTGGGACCCAGGCTTCCTTTCTTCTTATTGAATTATTTTCTACAGTCCACAAAAGGTAGGGAGAGTCACTAGATTACTTCTGTGCTACATATTCACTTAAGTAAAAATAAGCGGACTAGCATGGCCAATGTCCTTCCCCTTCCCACACTGAGTGCTGTTTTCTGCTATTAGGAAGGAAAAAACAGACCTTAATTGCCAACAAAGTCTCATACACAATAAAACGCTACACTTCTGCTGAGCCCTACTTTCCTGGGGAGAGAGGCGATATGTGCTCAACAGCCTTGGAAGAGCTTGGTTGTCAACTGTAGGGATTATTATTTGAAGCAACTAGGCTTCTCAATTCAGCCATTGCCATGTACCAATCCCACAAAGAATTACAGGTAGTTTTACACACATTGGGCTACTTTCCTGAACGAGAAGTAAGGTGGAGAGGTGAGCCAGTGTTCAGTCCAATGCCCCATTTGATACACACAGGCACACACTGTACATCCTTCACGCCACTGCCCCCTCCCCCCACCACAAACAATTGGACAAAGGCCTTCATTAGTGCAAACAGTTTCCTAAGCTAACATCATTGACAGTAACTGGAAGAACTTCTCTTTTTAACTCTTAGCATGTGACAAGCTCACACACACATGCCATTTCAGCACATTCAGATTGTTTCAACAAAATCAAAGGCCTCTCCTTTCAGGATTGACACAGGAAAGGAGGACATCAATACAAAGCTGCACCTAGTATCCCAGTGGTCTCTTAGCAGCATAACTATTCTTGGGGGGAGGGGGGGAAAGAGAATATTCTTCCTAATTGCTGGCCTAAATGGCAGATGAGGGATATTAGTTCCCCAATATACCACAACCCTATTTCTCTCTCTCTCTCTCTCTCTTTCATGTGTACACATGCGCACACAGCCTACTGGAAACTACAGAACTCCAACTAAGACTGGACAACTACATTACATGGCACTAGGGAGGTGGAGTGGAATACATACGTGAGCCCCTCTCCACCTGATCTGTTGATGGGGCCTCTATAATATGGAGGGCAAACAGGATCAGGGCAACAAGCCAGAATTTGAAGCTATTTCTCCTCCGCCAAACAGCTTGCCTTGTCAGTAGTATTCTCAGCAAAGCATGGCAGAAGGAGCCAGGCAGATGGGGAGAGGGAAGAGTGGGCCCCAGTTCTGTAGAAAAAGTGCAAAGTGGCTTCCAGCCCTGGGAGGCATGTTTCTGTACCCCACACTGTGCTTGTCTGTATTAAAAATGGGAGGAATGAGGGACACAGAGGGATAGTTTGGGGGTAAGCTGATTGATTGAAAGCCAGGGCATTGTGGGAAAAGAGAATTCTACCTGGCAGCTGCCTGGAGTCTCATTTGGGTGTGTGGGGCTGAGAGTGCCTGTTCCTCTCTTTGTTACCTCTGGCGCTCACTTGCTCACTCACCCCCCGCAAAGTCAGCTGACCCGCTCTGACACAGGTGTCCTGGTGTCCACGGCCTCGTCCCTGTTTGTAGGCCGGGACAAGGCCGTGGAGGACGACACAGTATCTTTGCGCTCATGTTTGTAGGACACGGCTGTGCCACCAGATTGAGTCTTAGGTGGCTCTTTAGGACAGCCATCACTTTCTGGAGCCCTCTCCTCTTTATAGCTCTTGCTGCTCAAGTCCTGGGGCTCAACTGGAAGGCTCTTGCTGTCCTTAGGGCTTTCAGGGGACTGAGCAGGGGAGGTGCCCTGGGGCTCCAAAGATGGCTGATGGGGAGGGAGGTGCTGATCCTTCTTGCCAGGAGAAGAGGAAGGGGCGGGGGTTGACACAGCATTGCCACCCCGCCCTTTAGGGCTGCTTTCTTTGCTGCGGCGCCCTGGGCTCTTGGCAGCCATTCGCTGTCCTTTGGAACTCCATTCCCCTGTGTTGCTTGGAGGAGGAGGAGTTGGCTTGGTGATCTCTATACTGACAGTTTCACGTGTCTTACGTTTCTTGATAGGCAATACTGTCTCCCGGACTGCCTGGATGACTGGCTCCTTGATTGTTTTCTTTTTAGCTTCGGCAATAGCTGCTACTGCACTGCTGCCTGGCTTTCGTCCCCGTTTCTTAGGTACAGCCTGGGGATCCGATTCAGGTTTCCGTTTACGTCCAGGACGCTTGATAACCATGACCTGTGCTGAGGTGGTAGCCCCACCTGTTCCTTCTGCCTTTGCTCCCATTGAAGATGACTGCAAAGGCATCTTGACTAGCAGCTTTCCCGAACTCTTCTCAATTACCCTTTTCACCTGTACACCTTCTGAAGCAGTTCCTCTAGGTTTGGTAGAGCCGCTACCTTTAGGTCGACCCCGTCCGCGGCCTGTGCCAGGAGTTTTAGGGGCTTTAGTTTTCTTAGGAGGCTTCTGTTCTCGTCGTGAGGGGCTCCCGCGCCCAGTCACCGTGAAATCAAAATCATTAGGATCCAGCGAGGTGTCTCCCACCTTCTCAAAGTAGGTGATGAGCTCAACTTTAGAACGAAAGGCCTTGCCTTGGGGGCTGCAGTTTCGGAACCAGAAACATGAGAAAGAACAAAGGGGTGGGGGGGGGAGGAGAGAAAATTAGTGGTAATTCACCAGAGATACACAAGATAGATTATCAGATATTTTCTTTAAAAAAAACAAACCTCATCTTGGAAGAAGTTGAAAGAGTCCTGTGCAATGATTCTGTAATCTATAATATACTCTATCCATCAAACATCACATTGGAAATAACCACTAATAAGGGGGTGTTGAGATTTTGCTTTGTGTTGAGCTCTATTTCCCCCCACTCTTGTATCATGTAGCTCTGATGTGAAAGCTAATAGAAAATAAAGGAGAGCAATTAATACATTGCCTATTTGGATTCCCCCCTAATACTTTTAATAATAAGAGCTTTGAAAGATGGTTCCTACAGCTAGCACTCAGAAGGCATTATGCCACTGTTCTGCCTTTTCTTTTTAATGGGAGTTACAAAGACTTGATGAAAGACAGTTTAATATCTGAGCTCCCCTGTAAAATTCTGTGAAAAAGACGATGTCAATGCATTATCAAAGTTTTGTCTAGAAGCACAAGTAGTCCTCGACTTACAACTTGTTGTTTAGTGATCATTCAACATTCCAATGGGTCTACCTGGGGGCTAGTTACAACCCAACCCAGATTTGAAGTTACAGGAGTTGCCACCCCTTTGAGTCACATGACTGAACTTTGGGCACTCAGCAAAAAGGCCATATTTACAGACGTGTGAAGTGCCTGACCTCATTTTATGAGTTTTGTCCAAAACCAGCATTTACTTCCAATTTTAGGTAATACTGAGTTCATAGTGAACCAGTAGCTTGCTTAACCACCTCAGCAACTGCTTAATGACTGGTCATAAAATTGGGCTGGTCATGTGACCAACCCACCATTTAACAACTATTACAACTTACATTAAATCAAGGATTTACTGTATTCTTGATTGCTAATCCTATATCTAAAATAGCATCATTTTTCTCAGAGACTGATGAGAGATGTTACAAAGAAAAAGATGCACAAAATCTATTTTATGTTTTCAGAAAAAAATATAGAGGAAAAGAAGCAGGTTCTTGTCATGTGAACTTGGCAATAAACAGCATTACAGAGTGCCTGAATTTATAATGTGTTTATATATATACTGACATGTATGTCATACAGGTAAATTCCCTCCACCTATCTGCCCCCACACATAGTATGAAAATTCAGATATGATGAGGTTGATAGAGCCCTTGCTAAATAACGTAACATTTTGTTAGGATCCTTGTTCTGTATGAAGAAATTCCTTCAACACTGATTTTATTTATGCTGATTTTTAGCAAAAAAACAACTAAAAATCTCAGATAGCATAGGATAGCATAGGATAGAATAGGATTCTTTATTAGCCAAGTGTGATCAGACACACAAGGAATTTGTCTCCAGTGCATAAGCTCGGTGTATATATAAACAGCTTGCAACAAGTCATAGGTCATAAATTATAGTTACAATCATTCATAATAAGTTACAAAAACAATTGATAATTCGTAAGAAACCAATAGGAGAAGATAGTAGGAAAGATGAGAAGTTTATATGGCAGGTTATATGGCATTTCTGTAGTACTTCCACTTTAATTTCATTACTTTTTTAAAAAAAAAAAGTTCCTGTAATAATCTCTAGTTAGGGAGATAAAGCCCTATGTCCATGCAGCAAAAGAGAAGTAGAATAATACCTTAACCCTTTCCTGACTGTGGTGAAATATGAGGCATTTTTCCCCACCGGAAGCATAATTACATATAAATATTTGGGGAATTCCATATGGCATTTAGGGTAGCCCCATATTAATTGTTAATGCCTTTTCTTCTTTATGTTACATTTACTCATATGTACAAAATGCCTGACTTCTACAAAATGCCTGACTTCAATTACATGTTCATTGTATTCACCTCTTCCTGAAAATCCCAATTGGAAGATTGATAGTAATTTCTTGAACGTGACCAATCTTTCTGTAAAATTATCCTGTGTTAGTTTTTTTTCCATTTGTGTATGCCTATATGGCAAGACAACAGGTACACACTGCATCAGATGCCAAGAATATATGAAGATACAGTTAGAGAGCACTTATCTGAAATTTTTTTAAGCAGCTTATCTTTTTCTGACAGCAATAACCTCCGCAGCTGCAATGCAATTCCAGGAAAATGTTCATTGTTATTTGGCTTAAGGAATTGCTACGTTTACACTCCCCTATGCTCCAGAGGATGATTTTAATATCTGAATTCTGCACAGTCCTAGCATGGAAGTCTTTTCATTCTAAACTTTGACATGTTGTTTGTTGTTTGGTAAAAAAAATGTAAAGGAAGTGATGTTCGTGTTAATTAGTGAATTATAGACCAATTCATAAGCAACAGTACTATTTAGCTTAGAGAAAAAAATATAGGATTGCAGAAAATAGTTGTCAATAATTTAGAAATTAAGTCATATGGATATCTCACAAGGACTAACAAATCCAGAAAAAAAGGATGTGGAAAGGTCTGTATTTCCTATATCTATATACTGCTAAAATTCTTGTGCCTCTGTTTGTAATCTTCAATTAGCCCAAATGGTGCATTATAGCACAAACATTTTTGAATCCAGATACCTCAAATATGATAAATTAAAGAACTTTCACAAAATTCAGAATCCATGCAATTGAAATTTCTAGCATCTTTACACCAGTTATATTTGCAAAGCTCTGGGTGCTGCAATATTACTACAATTAGTCACAATCACATGATTGTAATTTTTGACACTCCCTGCCAGCTTCCCACAAGCAAAGTAAATGGGCTTGGTAGAAGTTACTCTGAACGCCCTTTCTATCTATGCTGCGAGAGAGCCCAGGATGGGTTGACTCCTTCCTATGACGTCATTTAGCTGAGTCTGTACTAAGATATAAAAACTAGCCCCTGGAAGAGACCCCAGCTTTGGCGAAGATACTTGACAGACTGAAAGGTGTCTCTGAAAGCACAAATGAATACAGAAATATGACTTACCCTCTCCGGATGAATCAAGGGAGGGGCTGGGCTCTCTCACAGCACAGATAGAAAGGGCGTTTAGGGTAACTTCTACCAATGCCCATTCTCCTCCATGCTGCATCGAGAGCCCAGGATGGGACATACCAAAGCTTGCATGTCCACGGGTGGGTCCTCGTCCAACTCATCACACCGACTGCTGAACCACTCGTTGAAGCACCCGTCTGCCGAAGGCTGCAGTTGCCGAGGCAAAGACATCCAGACGGTAGTATCTGATGAAAGGAGACGGAGATATCCACGTGGCCGCACGACAGATCTCCTCCATGGGTGCTTGGGTCGCCCAGGCAGCCGAAGTGGCCGCGTTTCTGGTAGAGTGCACTGTCAGACCTCGAGGAACCGGAAGGACCGCAGCTTTGTAGGCCTGCTCAATGCAAGATCTGACCCACCTGCTAATAGTAGAAGAGGCCTTGTGCCCCAAGTGAGAAGGGAAAAGGAAACAAAATGGCTTCAGACTTCCTGAAGGAGGAAGTGCGCTTAATGTATATTCTAAGAGCCCTACCTACGTCTAGCGAGTGCCACTGCTGCTCTAAGTCATGGTGCGGGAGGGGGCAGAAGCCAGGCAACATAATGTACTGGGACCTGTGAAACAGGTGTTAACCCTTGGAATAAATGAGGGGTCCAGACTGAGGACAACCCTATCATCGTGAAAGGAACAAAGGTCCTGTCTGATGGAAAGAGCAGCGAGCTCGGATACCAGCCTGGCTGAAGTGATGAAAACGGGGAACACTACCCTCAGAGTCAGGAAACGGAGAGACAATGTTCTAAGGGGTTCAAAAGGGGGCTTTGTAAGGGCATAAAGGACCACATGAAGATCCCAGGAAGGATACCTGTGAACCACCGGAGGGTGCAGGTTGGAAGCCCCTTTCGAAAACCTGACTGAAGGGTGATGGGATAAGGAAGGAAGCGAACCCCATGAAAGAACCAAGGAGAGGGCCTCAACCTGCCTGCGTAAAGGTGTTGGGAGCCAAACCTTTCTCCAGATCATGCTGAAGGAATCTAAGACCCTCTGCCAACTGGGCTAAAGCGGGAGAGAGATACCCTCCCTAAGGCACCATCAGGAAGGGCCTTCCAGGTGGCATCATAGATGCGCCTTGTGGGAGGTTTGCGAAATGCCAGGATAATGATGATGACCCTTTCAGGAAGATCAGCCACCTCTAGCCACTGCCGCTCAAGTGCCACATGGTCAGCTTGAGCCACTAGGGCTCCGGGTGGAGCAGAATCCCCTGATGAAGGGAGATTAGATGGGCTTGGATCCTCCAAGGAGAAGCCACCGACAGGTTGACCAGGTCCGCAAACCAGGGCGTCCTTGGCCAATAGGGTGCCAGGAGGAGGGGCTCCGCTCGTTCCTGCAACATCTTCCAAATTACTGCCAGAATGATGGGAGCAGGGGAAAGGCACAGAGGAGACTTTTCGGCCATCTGCACCGAAGGGCATTGGTCCCCTCCGCTTCCTGGCAAGGAAACCTGGTGAAGAATCTGGTGACCTGGGCAATTTGAGGAGTTGAGAAGATCCACCTCCGGCGTTCCGAAACTGAGGGAAAGATATCTGAATAGAGAAGGAGGAATAGACCATTCTGCCTGGTCAACTAGGCTCCTGCTGAGCCAGTCGGCCTGGGAGTTGTTGATCCCGGAGAAGTGGTCCGCCGAGATCGACAACAGGTGTTGCTCTGCCCATAACCCCAACCGTAGAGCCTCTCCCATGAGGGCTCTGGACCTCGTCGTCCCGTCCCCCCACCCCGCTGGTTTGTCAGGAGCCATGGCGGCCATGTTGTCCATAAGGACTAGAACATGAGAGCCGGTCACTGAGTGCCTGAAATGCTTGAGAGCTAGAAAATGGCTCTGAGCTCTAGCCAATTTATGGGAAGGGCTTGCTCTGACCTAGACCAAGGTCCTGAGCATATGGGAACCCCAACCCAGGAGGCTGGCATCGGTGGTTATCACTAGCCTGTCTGGGACCCTGAAAAGGAGTCCCTTCCAGATTAACGGGGAACACCATCAATTGAGAGATCTCCGGATTTGTGGCGGGAGCGGGACCTTGATGGATGAATGGCTGGTTCCTGCTCGTTGGTAGGGAAGCAGGAACCATTAGAGAGGACAGGAGTGGAAAAATCCGTGGCTTTGGAGATGACAGGATAATTTGCAGATCCCGATGGGCTGCATGGATGAAGGAGGACAGAATCAAAATGTTGTCCAAGTAGCATTGGATCCTCACTGGAACAGAAAGCAGAGATGCCATCAATGCTGCCAGAACCTTCGTGAAGACCCTTGAAGCCGATAAGAGGCCGAAGGGAAGTGCTTGATACTGGTAATGGGTATTCTGATAACAAAAACGGAGAAACTGGCGATGATGAGGCCAAATGGGGATGTGGAGGTAAGCCTCCATGAGATCAGTGGAAGAGAGGAGATCGCCCTCCCAAATACTCTCTAAAATAGAATGTAGAGTCTGCATTTTAAATAGCCTGTATTTTACAAATTGGTTGAGAAATTTTAGATCCAGGATGGTTCGCTACACCCCCTGAGGCTTTGGGAACAATGAAAGGCGAGAATAAAGCCCACATCCCCATTGAGAGGGGGGAACAGGTTTGAATAGCTCAGATTTCAAGGAGTTGAATGGCTTGATTCATGAAGTCTTGCCTTGAAATGTCCCGAGAGACAGGACAGATCAATATTTTTTTAGCGGGGGTGCATTAGGAAGTGCAATTGTAATCCTGACCTAATAGTGCTGAGCACGCAGGCATCCACCATTGACTCCTCCCATTTGGAGGCAAAGAAGGCTAGGCGACCTCTGATGGGTGGGGAGAACGAGGGATTACTTAGAGCGACGGCAGGAACGACCCCTACCCTCCCGAAAGGGCTGTTTACCAGTATAAGGAGCTGGGCGATAGTCAGCTCTCTTCCCAGAGGAAGAGAGAATTTTACGTTTATCTCTGGTTTCGATGAGATATGGTTCCAGAGCATCGCCAAAAAGCTTATCGCCCGCGAATGGAACTGAAACCAGCTTCCATTTACGGCGTGACTCCGCCTGCCAATTTCTGAGCCATAACAGTCTTCTTGCTGCTACTGAAGATGCCATGGCCCTAGATGCAAATTTGGCGGAATTCCGCCGCTGCAATAATCTTATTAAGGCCTTGGTGAGACTGAAGGTCAGATGTAGGCAATCTAATCTGGAGTTGGTGCAGCCACAATATGGATGCCCACGTGAGAGTACCAGAAAATGGGAATGAGGCCAGAACCGGAATGTCAACAGAAGGCACTGCCAGGGAATTGTCCAGGGCTGCGCTGACGTTGTAGAAACGCTTATCTAGAGAAGATGCGCGAGGACCTGCCGAAGGGAAAGCGCACCGTTCCTTGACCATATCCAGGAACAAAGTGGGAAAAGGCAAAACCCCTGCCTGCACTACAGGCTTGGAGAAGAAGGAGTCTCCCTGGCTAGAGGGAATTCCTTGTGGCTCGGGAGCCACTTCCTCTGGCGACAGCTTGGCAGTGACCAAGGCCATGCTGAGTAATGGCCTGAAGAGAGGATTGAAGACCAATGCAGAGGATGTCTGCTTTGGGCAAGAGTTTCTTCCTCTGAAAGATTTTGGTCAAAGGTCTCGCCCTCTTCACGTTCTGAACGAAAGGAGTAACTGTGTTCAGATGGTGAAGCCCTTCCCTCCTCATCAACCTCCTCCTATTCTGGTACAGAAGAATGGACCCTGAAGTCCTGGGGCCTGTGTAAATCAGGATGATGAGGCAACTTATAGATTGAGAAGGGAGAGGGCCTGAACCCTTTCCAGGGATCGAAGGATTTGCTTGAAGCCTTCAGCCAATCCCTGCCTAATGGCCAAAGAGACAACATCTTGGATATCCCCTGGTCTATGCTCAAAGGTAGGGGGCAGAAGGCCGAAGGCCCACTGCTGAGGGAGTGAAGGTGGCTTCAGGCCTAGATTGAGAAGAGGTTCGAGGCCTGGAGGGAGGGGGAGGAGCATAGGGCCCAGAAGCCTGTTGGAAATAAGGCCCAGATCGGCTTAGATCCTGAAGATCATTGTACTGCAAAAGCCTCAGGAGACAGGCTCATAGATAACTTCTCCTCCCCTGGGAGGGCTTGGCTGGGGCACACAGGTATGATCTGAAACATGCTGTAGTTGCACTTCCTTCTGTTGAATAGTTCTGTTGAACTGCCTCTCTAGGGCTACATGTCTGCGCTTTTCTGCCCTCAACTCCGCCTGAGTTGCCTTCTTAGGGGCTAGAGCCTTAGCTCTGATTTTAGCAGCCACCTCCCTCTGGACTGATTGGGTGTGTTGCCTACAACTTTTTCTCTTATTGGCTTAAGAGACTGTTCCACTGGGGGGGCGGCGGGGGGGAGACTCTGCCTGACCCTTATATTGCTCCATTTGAAGAATAAAGGCTCTTACACTGGAAAGAAACTGTTTGTAATTTTTTTGTATTAAGCCCCTTAGGGTATAAATTGGCCCCAAGACTTACAAAATGGCCGCTCACCTCGTGGTGGAAGGCTTCAATCCAAGATGGCCGCTGACTATGGGAAACAGACTCCGAGATCGAATAATTTCTCCTTAGGCTATAAAGAGCCCCGAGTGACGTCAGCAAAGGAAAGGGCAGCCTCTGGCCATACGATCAGCTGGCTGACGCTGGTATCGGTTTGCCGATCACTTTTTACGACCGCTCAAACTGCAGGCGTGGGGGAAGTCTACAGACGCTGCCCAACTTGCCTGAACAGCGCTCTGGCAACGCTGCTCCCAACCTTGCTTGAAACGAGGAAAAATGGCACTGAAGATCGCTCGTGAGTGTTATCTAACAGAAGCTTTCAGAGACACAGCTACTGACTGAAAGGAGCTGAGGCAAAAGCTGGGGTCTCTTCCGGGGGCTGGCTTTTATATCTTAGTACAGACTCAGCTATGACGTCATAGGAAGGAGTCAACCCATCCTGGGCTCTCGATGCAGCATGGAGGAGAATAGCAAAGCCAACAAAAAGTTGGAAATTGTTTTTGCTCCCATTTTTTTTCCTATCAGTGGTCATTCTGTTTCTCCATTTAGGTAAGGAAATATCTCTGAAATGACCATTGGTCCAAATAAGCGATTAGCATACTGGCTAGGTCATTTTCAGACTAGTGTATTGTTCTATTTTCAGAATAAGGCCTGCTGTCCAAAATCAAAGAGAAGTCTAAAACTTAGAATGAAATTGTGCACAAAAACATATACAATACAATATATAAATAAAAATAAATATGATAAATAAAGTCAATATAATGATAAAATAAAAAGAGCAGACTTTAACATGCAGAAAATCAGTGAGAGTTATGATCTCCTAAATCCCAGAAAATACAAAGGCTGGTTATAATTACACAAGAACGTAGAACATACTCAAATATATTCTCTCTCATATACTGAATCCAAATTGAAAGCTCTTAGACCAGAATGTAGTAAGCACATTTTCCCTTTTGAGTTTTGCAGAACAGCGCATGATGAGAGCAATATACTACAAACATACAAGGGCCATTGTCACTCACTTGATAAGATAGACGTCATACTTCCCCGCTGAGCGGCCAGATTTTCTCTGCTTGAGTTTGCGAGTCCAGCCCTCAGGCAAAGTGGGATCATCATACATGGGACCACGATCTCGGATGACAGAACGGCGCTGTTTTGGAGATGCAGAGGCTTCAGGTACAGCTGGAGCAGTTCCAGCTCCTTCCGACATTTCTGCCTTGCCTGCCTCAGCTGGCTCCACAGAGGGCTGGGCATGCTCATGTTCCTTTTCTTCTTTCCTCTCTTTCTTGACTTTTTTAGATTTGGAGGATTTGTCCTTTAGACCCTGTAAATCCTGGTCCTCAGACTTTTCTTCCCTGGAATAGAGAGAAAAAAAGATCTTGAATGTTTAGCATATTGTACAATATATTATCAGGACTGATAGGTGGAATAAGAACTCCCCTACAGCCAAAGTCACATTCATAAATTCTCTTTAACGTACATATATAGTATACCTTTAGAATGTTATTTTGGGACGATTTAAATAGGAAGAAGGAAACGCAATGTGTGACTTTTGAAATTCTTTCCAATCCCTTAAATGATAGCTGTTTTGAGCCATGTGACAAAAAGGTGGAAGGGGTTTGAATGCAACTGTTGCCTATCTCTCTTTGATACAAAGATGCAATGGAAGAACTTTTCTGAGTTTTCTTGTCTACAGTCTCCGGCCTCAGGTGGTCCATTTTCAAATTTGAAATGTTTGTATTTTATTTTGCAGACTTCTCCTTTCATATAAATTTGGTCCCATTCCTTTAAGTTTCTGAGGATCTATCCATAGGTAATCATTTTTTTTTTCAATACTTTATCGGGCTAGGAAGAATAAAAAAAAACAAGTGTGTTGCATACTTTTGGCAATAGCAGAGAAATACATTTGATTCAGTGGTGCCATAGCTCCGTAGGACTACAACAATCTGCTGTGTTCTTTTTGTTCGTTAAACATCTCTCAGAGATCACATACAAACATAACTATATTTTTCTGTGTGCGTATTCCAGAAATATCTTCCCCGAACAGCTCCAACTCAGACAGGTTTTATAATTCTACAGCTGGTTTAATTAAAACAGAGGAAGCCAGAAATTACTATTTTTGTCTGGTATGAAAAAGGAGTTCTTGCTAATTTCATATGTAGCAATATCACAACACGTAAACCAGGTTTTAGATTCTATGTAAAAATACACTTTTTTCGCTTCCATTCAATTATGTCTCGGAGACTGCCTGGACACATCCATGCGGTTTTCTTGGCAAATTTTTTTAAAAGTGATTTGCCCTTGCCTCCTTCCTAGGTCTAAGTGTGTAACTAGCCCAAGGTCTCTTAGCTAGGTTTATGCCTAGAGTGGGACAAGAACACACAGCCTCCTGGTTTCTAATCTGATGCCTTAACCACTACACCAAACTGGATCTCAAAGCACATATGACTCCATTTTTATTGAATATAGATTCATGATACTTCTCAACATTCTATCTTCCAGCTGTGGCATAGATAATATTTATTGCCATAACAGTCTGTAATGAAAAAGAAAATAATACATTATGTCAGCTTTCTCCAACTGTAGAATGGTAGGAAATGTCATATAATTCTAGAGAGCATTATGTTCCAAGTCTGGTAATGATGAAGCTGACCTCAATTCCTGATTATTACATGGACAAAATTATGTAGCCACTGCCTTCTTTCAAAATGTTTTTTTTTTTGACAATGTAGCAGAGTAACATATAATGCTGTTTATTAACATTTTTAAAATATGTTATTGGTTTGTAATGTGTGTAACCTAAATAGCAATATAAGCATATTATGCAGAATATTGGCTGACCTTGTTTCTTCTTCAGTTCAAGGGCTGCAAGTTGACAAATTTTGTTAAGCCAACCTAATAAGCACTAACACTTAATTAATTATTATCCCACCTGTATTATTTTTACAAATAACTTAAGGAGGCAAACATATGCAACACATCTTTCTCCTATCATATTTTCCCACAACAACCCTATGAGGTAAGTTGGGTGGAGAAAGAGTGATTAGCCCAAGTGTACTGAGCTGGCTTTCATGGTGAGGCAGAACTAGAACTCATAGATTTCAGCTTTCTAACCTGGTGCCTCTACACCAGTGGCCCCCAACTTTTTGGACACCAAGGACCGGTTCTGTGGAGAGAGGTTTTTTCCGCAGACCAGAGGGGGCATGGTTTCGTGTGCTGCCTCCACCCCACAGGTGGGACTTTGCTTGTTTGCACAGACTGGTATGCTGCAGACTGGTGCTGGTCCATGGACTGGGGGTTGGGGATCCCTGCTCTAGACCAACATGTATTCTTTCATAAGCATTTATGGACTACTATGAAGAGCTTTCTGTCTCTAGTCTTTTAAGAAGCGATTAGATAACCACCTCTCATACACAGTTTAAATGGTTTTCGAGCACATTGCAAAATGTTGGTTTTAAAATTTTGGACCTTTTGTCCCACCCAGCGTTATACTTCTATGATGTTTTTCAACAGTCCAAGCTTGATATATCCAATGTTCTTCATAAATTTAGAAATTCCAGATATAGCCGAATAAAATATTAGCATCTTTCACCTTTAACTGCCTTCCAAGAGCCCAATTCACCATGATAATCCAATTCTGATCCATCTAATAGGAATTACAAGTGGAGCCAACTGTTACATATATTATAAATTCTTAAAATTTATTAATGTCTCCAGCACAGAAAGAATGTGAGCCTATCTTTTCTAAACTCTCTTTTAATAGGTCCAATAGACTATAGAGATTTTATTTATAAGTTCTAGGTTGTAAGACACTTATCAAATATTTTTTCTCAAACAATTGTTTGGGCAATATCAAATATTCAAATTTTTAATAATCATGTGATTGCAGGGCACTTTGAAAGCAGTTTATGTACAAACAGGTTGCCAAGCACCTAGATCCTGATCATATGGCCATGATAAGTAATATTATATGATTGTATTATACATGAAGAAATACTTTACTAAGTGTTAAGAATTTATCTTAACTGTTGATGAATGATAATAAATGACTCGTTGTTAATTGGACAAAGATTTTAATTAACCATGGCTTTTCAAATAATTTTAAGTTCCATTGTAACAATTGTTTGACATGAAGCACTAGACTGGAATCTACTCACCTTAAAGCTGGACGTCAGTAGTTTCCAATCTAGTGCTTCATGTCAAACAATTGCTACAATGGAACTTCAAATTATCTTAAGATGTCTTAAGAAGAAATAAAACATAAAAATGAATATAAAATGTAAAATAAAGCCATCCCCAGCCACACTTGCTATCCCAAACCAATGTTTATCCTGACATCCCAACATCAATTGAAATACAATTTTTCCTCTTCCCATCTCATTATTCACCATGCATAGGTGCTTTAAAGGAATTTGGCTAGTCACACAACTAGAGAATTTCAGATTAACTTCCATGAATTTCTCCCTGAGTTATGGTAATGGCATCTTCCAAAGCTCTTACATTTTTACTTAAAAGAAAATGTGTGCATCAGGTGTGGATTGTGGCAGGTCTTTACAGTATTAGCAAAGGTCTGGCTTTGATAAATGATGAAAAATAACACAAAAACAACAAGAACCCTTATGCAATCAAGAATAAGAACCTTTTGGGAGAAATTGCTAACTCCTTGATATGACATGTGTTTATTTAGTCATGTATGCTTTGTCTTTCTTCCACATACATAACTCTTAATAGTTAGCAGCTTCTTATTTGGCTGGATTACAGTCTCATTCTTCAGATTTCATCAAATGTGAAAGCCATTTTGTTTAATCACTTCAAAGATTTCAGGTCTATGATTCTAAATTCTTAATGGAAGCTCATAGGAAAATCAGATTATGTTGAAAATTGTTTCAGGAACAACAACCATTTGTTTAAAAATAAGCTTTAGCAACAACTGAAACAGTTTAATATATATGTAGCTGAATACCAACTTTCAAAAAATATTTTTATTGCTTAATTAATAACAAAAATGCTTAAAAAGTAAAAAATATGACAAAGAAAATGTTGATAAATGATTTCCACAGTAAACAGTTATAATTCTATCTATACTTATCTAATATGAATATTATTCAAATATATATGTTAAACAATACATTGCACTAGCCCTCTAAAATTCTTAGTGGTAGATAAGTTTTTCTTTATCCATTATAAATTTTGTAAACTATATACTTTACCAATCATTCCAATACACATACACATGCAATGTTTGCCTGCTAACTCCCTGTTTATCTCTTTACAGCAGGGATATCAAACTCACGTTGTCATGGTGACATCATGTGATGTATTGGGACTTTTTTTCTGTCACTAAACCGGGCATGGGCATTGCCAGCGCACAATGCATCCGGCCCGTAGCCAGGAATTTGACAGCCCTACTTTTCAGGATGAGATGATTGATCAAGTTACACCTAGAAGTAACCTCTCACCTTGGGATAGTTAAGCTGAATAAAGCACAGACTGAGGTAAACATCTTAATTTTGTCTTAAACAAAATTTAAGTACTGCTGAAAGGTAAGGATTTCAGCTGAAAAAAACAACAGAAGTCACCTATACTGTTAAACTCAATTATGGCTCAATATTACAAATCAAATGAGTTTATTATAGTTCTAAGACCAGATACAATAAAATATCTAACAGTAGAACTGTTAAATACCCAATACAAAACAGAAAATTATATGTATAATAGGATCTAAAATGGACTAAGAAGAGATACAATAAAGTAATAAAATATTAGTATATGAAATTCCAAGCTTAACTAATGGTGCAGAATATTGTACAGATGGCAGCACAAAAAAGGGATACTTAGAGAAAATAATTTTGAGTTGTCTGAAAGTAGTAAAATTAAGTGGAAATCACATTCCCTATGCAGAAGTGTCTTCAACATTAGATAAATGAAATTCTGTCTGGAGTCCTTAAACAAGGAACAGCACAATAGCACGTGGCTTAGTTTCTATTGAGCCATCTCAACAGGAATGTAACCAAAGATACATAGGAGTACCCTTAAAATATCCAAAATGGTCTGCTGAGGGCACTGAATGGCTAGTTGAAGGCCTTACAATATTTCAGAATTGTAATTGATGACAAATAGGAGACTGGAGCAAACCTCTTTGGAAGAATATGATAAATATTGGGGTGCAGCATCTTGCTTAAATTTGTTTGGATTTTCTATATCTATATAAAATTTGTTCTTTGAGGACAGTTCTAGCATTATCAGAACCCAATCTTATAACGTAAAGATATGTTGTGTGACAACTGTCCAATAAATAAACAAACAAACAAACAACTATATATCAACATTCCAGGACAGAGAAGGACCCGCACTC